TGTCAGCCAGTGTCAACATTGTTACAACCTATAATTTATGTGTCACCGTCTTAGGAAATTTGACAGCACATTTGACATACGGAGAACGTTAGGTACAGTTCAACAAACCAAAATGCTTCATCCTATGTTATAGTTGTACAAGGATATCTGGCAAGAGAGGCGCTATACCCATAATTGGTTGGTTCTGTCAGAAAACATATCATACTGATAATATAAATGCGAAAGTTCAGACAGATAGATGGTTGTTTCTTAGAGTTTGTAACCTAAACGGGTGAACGGATTTCCATGAAATTTGGCATAGATGTAGACGATAGTCTGGAAGAACACGTGGCTACTCACTTTTGTTTTTTTTTTAATTCCACGCGGACCGAGTCGCGAGCAGAAGCTAGTAAAATATATTTGTTTTCGTATTGTAACGCATGGCGTGACACGAAAGTGCAATAAAATGCATTGATTAACAATATACCTGTGGCTGGAATTTCCCTAAATAGAGGGATTCCCCAGTTTCTGCGAGGGTTCGATACGCGATCACCCTGTCGGCGCCATAGGACCGATATTATGCGTACTCTGTTTTATTTGTAGCTATCTTTTGCTTTGAACTAAAAAAAGGCAAAAGTGAGTAGCCTATGTGTTGTTCCAGACTTTCCTCTACATCTATACCAAATTTCATCGAAATCCGTTCCGCCTTTTTTATCCGCCGAATTATAATAGACTTATTTGTAGTATTCCACAATATTTTATTTACAGGTAAACATTGTTTTCTTTAGATTTTCATAGTTCTTAGCCATTGATTTCGCTTTAAATTGCTTGTTTATTTCTTCTGTTAAACTGTTTAAATAGTGCTCGAATTATGTCAAATAACGGAAACACCAGCTATTTTCTAGTTCAAACAAAGCTAAAGAAATTTTTTATTACATGTTCTGCTTATTCTCTTCAATAAATCAGTGTGACATTGTTTATAAAATAATTAGGGGTCCGCCTGCGATGTATTAGCACAGACAATACGATACTGTACTAATATTAATGAAGATATATGGTGAAAAACTATGTTTTCTCGAATAAAATCGGTAATAAGCATGTATGGTGTCAAAATGTACAACAAACTTACGAATAACCTATAGGCATTATATAATAATTGCAGATAATATTTAAAAAAAAAAGTCTTTCCCAATACTGAACCCGTCGAATTTTGTCCTGCCTTTCCATAGCCAACATAACAATAGTTGGATCGACTATAGACAATTAAACGCTGACTTGTGTACATTCACCAGTCGCGTTGGTTTAATCTATGCTTTCAAAAATAGAACACGCTGTGGTTCTGATAAAAGAACGCGACGGATAAACAACTTTCGTCGTTGCAAATGATGGAAAATAAAGAGCTTATTAGATTGAATTCTTTTTAAACGTATTCTGCGGGTAGTTTATAATATTTAATGCATTGATTATGGAAGTCGGACAGAATAGTAGCTAAATTAGCAATATTTCAGTAAGAAAGCAATGAATTAAAACGCCTAAAAGTTTTTATTAGCAATGTCGCTATTTAGTAACAATTTTGATTAAAATGTAATTTTCGAAGTTGTGTAATGCAAATCCATAGTTGTTATTACACTTTTGTTTAGAATAATCGTTAACTTCCGTTAACATTTCTTCTATTGTGTGTTTTCTTGGTTGGAAACTATGTGTGTAAAATGTAACAAAGTATTTCTATACATTTGTGTGTTGCTATTTTGCTTCTAATAAAACCTAGATTCTAGAGACAAAAACGTTTTTAAGAGCCACAAGATGGCGTTGTTTTTAATTCTATGTGATATAAAAAAAAATCGAGTTTAATTTAAGATTAAACAATTTAAATATAATATATAAGAACGAAATTTTGCAATAAATCACTTTCACGGCTACATATCGCAAGGTTTCTTGCAATAATTTCGTTGACGGTCGCCAAATCATTTATTTAAAAACAAAGAAATTGTCGCTTGTCGGCTTGCGGTCATTGACCTGTGTATTTTGAGAAAATAAAGTAGGCAAATGTTGGCAACACTGACATTCGTTATGCGGGAAAGTTAATGTCAATAAAATTATGTTTTCTTATTTTTAAATTACGATGTCGAGTGGCCAGTGAAATTTTAACAATTGTGATGATTCTATTTTTATTAATTTCTTCAAATATTATAAACATAAAAATTTTAAACATATACCACGATGGAAAAAGGCTTCAGATATCTAAATTGCATTGCGAGCTTTGTTTTAACCTAACAATTTTACCAAAATCTATACCTCTACATCTGAAACGTATATTCGAGCTCGTTGCAAATAAAACCCTTTCAGATGTTCAGTTTATATATCGAGTAACGTCACTTGAAGCCCGCCTTCATAAAGCAACGCCAATAAACTCATCGGTTTAATGTCTGGGAACAAATAAACACATGTGTCTGCCGACTCCGTTATGACCCGACCATCAATGCGCGATGATTTAGGAAAATTCCTACCAAACAGTTGAATACAGTGAAGCGTAAAAACAATCTTGCATCTAAGTGATGAAAAAAGATTTCCAATATTTAGTTGTTATAACTCTTTCAGATTTCGTCACAACTTTTTCCATACCTATATTTGTTACGAAGAGTTTCTCTAACATTTCTCAGTAATAAAGTTTCTTAAGAAAGGTTTAATTAATAGGCATTGATTTTCTGATGGAGCCCTCATTCCAGTCCACGTGCGCGGTCAGGTCACGAGCGATAGCGGACAATGTACACTAACCCCAGCACTTACAGCCAATTAATTTGTTACTTATGCCGATTGCGATTTTCGATTAGATTGATTAACAGTGGGTATATAAGAATATAAAAGTTTTTATGAAATGAATATATTTCTCAAGTGCTTTTTTTACTTTCTTTTTTCCGTTAAAAGTTGTACATAATTTTACCCGCTAGCGTCTAAGACACTTACGCCTTTCTCTTTCTGTAGATAACGAGGTTGTTTGTAAATACTGAGATGGTTCGGTTCAGCGCGGCGGCGGAAGAACGCAAATAGATGTACACAATGAAGTCGTGCCCTTGTTCCGTATTATATCCGAGGTACGGCATGTAATTAGGTAGGATACATTGTAAAGAATTCTCTTATAGGCATAATTAAAAAAATATAAGGTGATCAGATAGAAAAGAGGATATGCAAAAAGTTTGAAAGGATACATTTGGTTAAGCAATAATTGATAATAGATGGCGCTGATAACAATTGTCAATATTTTGCATTAATTTAAAAATAAAAGCATATTTAGATCAAGTAGTAAAATGTTTTATAATTTGTTGTTAAATTATATTTGTTTAAGTCGGAAAAATATTGTGGAAGAATATTTAATATCATACTGGCCGCCAAGAAATAGAAAAAAATGTATTAAAAACAACAACGATAATTTTTGGCGCGAATGAGAGTGCAAATTGTGAAGCAAGAAATATAACAACGTTTTTATTTTTTGTGTGTGTGTGTGTTTATACATATTCAGTTTTCTTCTATATTACTAAATATTATGAAGCGGAAAGATTTGTATTTTTGTATGTATTGAAATAACTTAAAAAACGACTGGGCCGACTTTAGAAAATTCACCGTTAGAAATGTAATTTACCTGTGAGTAACAAAGGCTACATTTTGTATTTTTTTTTTAATTTCACGCGGGCCAAGTTGCGAGCAACAACTAGTCATTTATACACATCGTCTTAAAATCTTAACAATTAAAATAATCTATAACTCATAGACGCATATTACAAGCCCTAGCAATGATGTACTTTGTAACTTATAATTTCGTCGAGTATTCTTAAGCGTGTGTTTGACGTATTCATTGCGCACTCACCCCGGACTTTGTCGTCGCCGGTGCGAGGCGTGCGGCAAAGTCCCCGGTACGGAAATAAACGTCGCGTGGGCAATGGAAATAGTTCCCCAGTTCGATTATCTCACCGCGACTTGTTGATAATTAACTTGTTTTTGTTTTACATTTTTGAATCTTTTTTAACATAGATTTCTAAGGCTAATTTTATTTACATTTGTAAAATATAACTATTTTTTGTCTGTCCATGTGGATATTTTGTTCATAACAAAAGAATGAATGGGTAATTAATATTTATTGTTACTATTTGAATTTGTCATCTCGAAGGTGAGGTTAGCTGGACTGTAAGTCGGAAGCCGCGAGCGATGCACCGCACTGATTGGGCTCAAGTGCTCTCAATATCGATTCAATGAATGCTATTTAAAAATAAAACTTTAAAAGTCTCGATGCGGTCGACGTGCCAATATTCTAACAATAAATAATAGCGAACTAATCATTCCGACACCATGCTAAAAGGTTAGAACTGCAGTGTTTATGTTTTGCTGGCTGTTTACGTGACGCCATCTTGTTCCGTCATTAACGACTAGCCCTAACTAATATTAACTGTATATCTTTAAGTCTTTGGATTTTAAACAATTTTGTGTAGTCATATATGCTTAAATACAGATATTTAGTAGGTATATGTATAGATATAAGAATAGGGGATCAGTGTTTAGGGCGCGGTCTGTCGGCGCCGTGCTCACGATTAATTGGATGTTACGGTTAATTTGGAGTTAGGACATAAATCTCGTTAGTCGACTCTGCAAGAGCTATCGATTACCCGGAATTGGGGATGCCGGACAAGTTGAAGGTCATGTGTTTTTAAAAACATTAAAATGTACTGATTTGTTTATTGTGTGCAGGATACGGCTGGTTCCAGTGGCTGCTGTTAGGGTCATGTGGCGCTGTGTACGCTGTTTGTGCGCTCAGTACTACCACGCTCAGCTTCGTGCTGCCCGCCGCCGAGTGCGATTTCATGCTCTCGTCCTCCGATAAGGGCCGTCTCACCGCCACGCCGCTCATCGGTCAGTAGTCACACGCTGCTATAATAACCATCTTAACGAGGAGACAAAACACACGAGCTATTGTTACGAAGTTTAGCTGACATCAGTGTTTCTAAGTTTTTTTTTTATAAATTGTGTCCATCAATTAGAATGCGACGTATGTCTCTGCGGGAGGAGGGCATCCCGCGGCGTGTCTAGACGCAATGCTTAGATGACGTAAGGGGCTGAGTATTATAACAGTTGATCCCATTCTTGAGATAGCATAAGCTCCTAGCATCTTTGCGTACTTAGCTTAGTTCATAATTTTACTTCTACATTCAACCTTTCTTTTAATAATTTCAACAAAATGTATGTCTTCATAATGAATATTAGCACAATAAACGAATGAAATAATTACGATATTAAGTTTCATAGTCTGTACTGTAAACCATAATGGTAATTCATAGTTAGCTGCATTTGCGGTTAAGGAAATCCTTACAATACCTTTATGTCCCTTTATGTCCTGACGATAGCTTAAATTGTTGTATGTGCAATGTAAAGTTTGTAAGCGTTGTATGGTTTGTTGTAGGGATGTGCGTGGGCTCGTACTTCTGGGGCAACTTGGCGGATGCTCGCGGCCGCAAGAAGGCGATCGTGGGCGCGCTACTGCTGGACGCCTGCGCAGCATTCCTCTCCAGCATCGTGCAGTCCTTCCCTGCCTTCCTCGCCTGCAGGTGTGCCATGATTGTTCAAACTGGTATAAACCTGACGGGTGTGACCTTCTTAAATGTCTTTGTTTGTCTTAGATTTTTCTCCGGGTTCGGTATAATTGGTGCGACAGGGTTAATCTTCCCCTACTTCGGGGATTTCCTCTCATTGCGGCATAGAGACGTCATGCTGTGCAGGCTCGAGGTCTTCTGGACCATCGGGACTATATTATTACCAGGTGATAACTGTGGAAAATAATATCAACTCTTGAGAGGAAAAAAGTTACAAATGTGTTTTATTTGTATAAACTGTAATTACTTAATGAAAAGTTTTTTATTGCAGGTATCGCGTGGCTGATCATCCAGGACCCGCGCTTCAACCTGACGGCGCTGGACGCGGAGTTCCAGTACAAGTCGTGGCGCGTGTTCGTGGCGGCGTGCGGGCTGCCCAGCCTGCTGGTGGTGCTGCTGCTGGCGCCCTTCCCCGAGAGCCCGCGCTACCTGCTGCACGCCAACAAGCCGGAGCAGGCGCTGCACGTGCTGCAGCGCATCTTCAGGGTTAACACCAAGCTGGAAGAGAAAGATTTCCCAGTAAGAAGTGGCTTTAAAAAGTAGATTACATTAGTACAATTTATTTATCAACTAGCTATCACCTGCACGAAATAAAAAAAAAACTTAATTAGTAACCTAGATACGTTTAACAGTTTAAGCTACAAACTCTAACAAACATCCATCCATCTGAAAGAAGTAAGATGGAAACTTAAATATAACTTGGTGTAATAATGCTACGCCGTAGCACTGAGCTACAGATCACGCTTAATTCGGGCAGAGCTACACGTGTAGCCGGCAGGTATTAGGGGAGTTCGAATCTCCGAAACTTACGAATTATTCCTTTTGAATTGAACAATAATGTTCGATTCAAAATTGTGCGATATATTTAATTTTGTACGTAACAAGGTATTAGTCTTTGGGTACTTAACTAAAGGTGCAGTAAATCTAAGGGTCTGTGCCACCGAATTGTAAATAATCTGATAACAATCCAACGTGTAATATCTATAAAGGAAATATCGGATTTTGTTACTTTATCTGAGAGTGACGTCACTTTTAAGCTATCAGAGCCTCTATCAGCCAGTGGTGGGAAAGGCCCTTAATGTGATAAAGAGAAAAGATTTGTATTTTTGTATATATTGAAATAATCCAAAAACCGATGGGTGATTTCATAAACTCTTTCACCATTAAAAGCTAAGTTATGAGTGAGTAACGCAGGCTACATTTTTTTGTTATTTTTTTTATTTTATTAGCAACAGCTACATGTGCGATGTGACAGGTGGAGTCGATGATGTGCGCGGGCGAGGGCGCGGGCGAGGAGGAGGAGGTGGTGTCTGCGGACACGAACGGCAACGAGACGAAGGCGCCGCTGACGTGGAGCGCGCGCTGGCACGCCTTCTGGCTGCGCAAGAAGCTGCTCGTGACGCCGCCCTACATCGGCCTGCTCGTGCTCTGCTGCTTCGTAGACTTCGGCCTCATGTTCAGGTAACCAACTGTTCGACAACTCTTTATTGCCGTAAAACACTATTTCGATGTGAAAGGCTATTTGTTTTAAACGCAATCAGGTTAAATATTCAGGAGAGCCACTTAAAGATTTAATTTTTAGAAAAAAAAAAACGTAGAAACAAATCCTAAAATTAATTTCAATTGAAAGATTTTCAGACAGGTTCTAGTTTAAAATTACTATAATTCTGTATACTTCATTCGATCCACTGACTATTAATAACTGATTTTTTGGCGCTTAATACTAAAAAACGACACCCACATTACATATACAAACAAAACTTAAAGTTCATTCAATAGTGTACAATTAAACATCGCACTTAGGGATTCAGTAAATGCACCAGTATCAGTACTCACAGTTCACTTTATTGACATTTAACACTTTATTAGATTAATCGCTGGTTCCTCAGCAACCTTTAACTATTCCTTAGTGATTATGATGCGATAGATTCATGAAATTCGTTTAAGTTAAGTAGTAACTTGAGTTATACTCCTTTGAAACTTAAGTCAACTTAACACTAATGAATTGTTAGATAAAAACGAAATAAGTGGAAACTTCAGAAACCCAGCATTACAGACCAAAATTAGCTGTTACAGAAAACTACCGTATACAATGCATTTATTTGAAAGTACATCTCTAGAGCGGTGTAAAGTAAATACAACTAGCGCCATCTCTTATCAACTTCCGAAAACAACATAGAAACCTTTACTCTCTTTTAGTATTTTCTGCTGTTTTACACGGATTGTAATCGCTACAATGTTGTATTACATTGATTGCTGCAGCTACTACACGCTGATGATGTGGTTCCCGGACCTGTTCGAGCGCTTCAGCCAGTTCTCGTCGCTGTACCCGGGCGTGTCCGCCGGCGTCTGCGAGGTCTCCGCCAACGTCTCCCGCACAGAGATCGACGTCAGTACTACACTCTCATTATACACTCAACACCATTCAATTCGTGTCACAAAAACCTTAAAATCTCATAGGTAAAAATTACATAAATAGAAAAACTGCTCATCTCGCTTTTATACAAAAATTGACATTTTTATATAACAATATGATTTTTTGAATTTCAATGTATTTGTGTCGCCTCCTCGTGCTTCCATTTCTGCGTTTACGCGCTTTGGTTAAATTTCTTATACGATTTTCGATAATATTCTCCCATTTTTTGTAAAAGTGAGTAATTAAGAAGTTTTATTAACCTAATTTAAGGAATATTTAATTGACTATTAACCAACGTGTATTTCATTAGGTTAGCATTCTTAGGTTACGAGATTTATAGTTTTTTTTTTTAAGTGACCCGGATTTAATGCTTTTGAGTGTATAAATAAGCTACCTTTTAGAATGACTACTTAAATCCCATGTAATTGTGTGTGGGGTGCGCAGGGCCGGCCGGAGTGCCCGCAGGTGATAGACGACAAGGTGTACATCCACACGCTGGTGGTGGCGCTGAGCTGCCTGCCCACCGCGCTCTGGGTCGGCCTCACCATCAACATGCTCGGCAAGAAGCTCATGCTCGGTCAGTC